TTCCTTTAAATAAAAAATAAAAAATAAAAAATATCTTTAAATAAATTAACAATTTATTAATATTCTATATAAAAATATAAATTATTCTGTTTTAAAATTAAAAATGAAAGAAGTAACCACGTTCATAGTAGATTACAACTTCAAATATAATGAAATGGAGAATCTACAAATTTAACACTCAAATTAGTTAAAAAAAAAAAAAAACTTATTATTCAATTGCCTTGAAAGTCTGAGAATTGTTGGATGCATTAAAAAACACATTAACATTAGAAAAATGATTCTTACAAAAATTCATGAGAGTTGTATGAAGTAGTACTAGTAGTATGTATTATTATTAATGGAAGTCATATGAAAATAATAATTTCTTGGCTTATAAGTACAAATAATAAATACATGAGCAAAGTGGTCCCCACAGATAGATACAATATAGCCTCGTGAGTTGGAGTTGGCATGCCATGGAAAAGCCATGTCATTCACGAGACTCTTCTTTTCACAAATGATGAATGGGCATAGAGTGGGACCCACCTTGAATGATGGCACAATACATACATACATGATCATGAGGTTATTATTTTCAATTCCCAGCGCGTATAGTTGTAGCGCGTGAAGCTTATCGAACACGCTCGAATATCTTCACACTCACACTACTCACTCACTTTCATTAAATTTATGATCATCAAGTCAATTGTCAAACTCATAAGCCAAAAAATCACCTTTTCCTTCTCAACAATCTCAACAGAATACAAATAGTCCTACTATTAATAATATATATATGTATATATATATATATATATATATATATATATATATATATATATATATATATATATATATATATATATATATATATATATATATATATATATATATATATATATATATATATATATATATATATATATATATATATATATATATATATATATATATATATATATATATATATATATATATATATATATATATATATATATATATATATATATATATATATATATATATTATTCCCTATGTCATTTATTTTATGAATTTTTTTCTATCCTGCCATAGTTTTAGGGATTAATTTCCAAAATGCCATAATTTTTAAATTGTCATGTTTTCAAAAAAATCTCGTTTTTGATTGAACACTTTCACCGGACTAATGTGCGGCAAAGTGTAATGAAAAAGTCAACCATATTTTATTTTCGTTTTATTTTTTAATTCTTTTTAAATATTATTACTAATTTCTATATTAATATTAATAATATTAATAAATTAATAATAATTATTATTAAATTAGTAATACTAATTAATTTATTAATAATTATTATTAAATTAGTAATAATAATAATTTATTAGAAATAATAGTTATAAAAAAGATAACAATAATAAAAAATAAAATATTACGTAAAAATAAATTAAAATAAAATAAATTATTTTTAAATAGTACTAATTAAAATAAAATAGTACACTGAAATATATAATAATATTTATAAAATAAAATACAATAAAAGAACTAAAATAAATAGTTATTGATTTTTGAAATTAAATATGTACATTAAAATTCCTATTCACCCTTAATTAATTTCGACCCGGTCGACGTAAGCGTTGGTGGGTTCCACAGGCAGGAGGTCGCACATTTCTGGTTGATCAGGAATGTCTTGTTTAATTCCGAATTGGAGTTTCACCCTATCTGAATGATGCATTTCAACATAAGTGAAAGACAATATGAATGTTGTAGAACTCCACATATCGTTTTCAGTTGGATCTTCATCTTCAAGTTTAAGATATGGTCTCCATAGAAACTATAATATAATTAAAAAGGGATTAGAGAAAAAAAATGGAAAGTGCTAGACTGCTAGTAAAAAAATAAGGGATTAGAGACAATACATCATCTTCCTCAAAATGATAGGAGAACGTCCGATATCCAGGAGCACAATGATGCGGAGTTTTTTCGTAATTCATCACATACGCTCTGTATTAAATAATAGTAGTTAATGATATCAATTAATATAAACTATGTATTAAAAAGTATAAATTAATATTATACATTAATTGATTATAATAATATATATTAATATTATTAATATTAATAATATTAATATATAATAATAATATTAATATATATTAATATTAATAATATTAATAATATTAATATATATTAATATTATTAATATATATTAATATTAATATTATTAATATTATTAATATATATTAATATTAATATTATTAATATTATTAATATAAATTAGTAATAATATTTAAAAAGAATTAAAAAATAAAACAAAACAAAAAAAATATGCTATGTACATAGCCGCACATTAAAAGGGCGGTTGACTTTTTCATTACACTCTGCCGTCCATTGGAAGGGCGGAAGTGTTCAACCAAAAATGAGATTTTTTTGGAAACATGGCAATTTAATATATTAATTGGAAACTATGTCATTTTGAAAATTAACCCCTAAAATTATGACAGGATAGAAAAAAATTCAAATTTTATAGATTATCATTATCATTTTAAGAATGTAGAAAAATAAATTAAAAAATAGAACAATTGTGACAAAAGCTTTATTAATTAAGAGCCTTTTAATAAACACTCAAAAACAATATTAATAAAACAATATTAAAAATAAAATATTTTTTTAATTGAACCTAAAATCACAATAAAACACTTTAAATTTATATAAACCAATTCTTTACCGATTCAGTTAACCTTGCTATTTTTTTTAATTACGGTGCACAAACTATAAAATTTAAATTTATATTAAGTCTTTAATAATACTTTATAAGTTTTGTTAACATTTTCCTTTTACATAATTGGTTCTAAAGGATAGGTTTTGACCATTTCGTATACATATTGAAGAATATCTTTAATTATGTATTTAAACCATAAAATTTGAAATAATGTAAAACTATTTTTCATTAATAATATTAAAATAATTTTAAAAACTTAGAATAAGATAGAATAATAATAATAATATTCATTCCATTTCAACATAAATTTAAAAGTGAGAATGTCATTCAAAAATTTGAAATGATAAAAGTGTAATGAAAAATAATACTAATGTTTTATTAAAATTATAAAATGGATTATAATTAAAATAGTAAAAAAGACAACAATAAGAAACATATAAATACTAGTTTAATTTTCATATGCATCAAAAATATTGATAAGTGTCTTAGGACATTAGTTAAAACATATATAAAAATTTGTGTTGGAAAATGATATACTTATTAGTAATTATAAAATTGCTGTTTCCAATACAAAATTCCTACTTTTTATAATGCATTTGGAACACATGTTACTTAGCTTTTAATTTGTTGACTATTTGTAAGAAGAAATCAATTGAAAGTGGATTTAAATGAATTGGGATCCTCTTAATTTATATATATATATATAATTAATTAAATATTAATTATATGTCACATGTTTTAGAAACGTGTGTTATTTACACACAAAGTTATAGTTATAAAAAAAAATATAGAGTCACAGAAATGGAGAAAATCTTATCTTAATTTAAATAAATTTCATTAAAATATAGTTGTATTATAGAATGTTTATATTCAAACAAAACGTTTTTCATATTTAGTTTGTATTGTTAATTTTTAATATGGTATGACTAACTTTTTGTAAATTCGTATACGAAACCTTTTTAAATAGAGATTTTTTAAAAGTTAAATATGTAAATAGTCAATTCAAACATTAAAATTTAGATTTAATTTTCTGCAAAAATATTTTTGTTTAATATTTAATAATTTAATTACTATTTATAATTTAAAAATATTTAATTCTAATTGTTTAAAATAAGATCTGAAAAAAATTCATATCAGATATAGTGATTTAAATAAAAAATAAAAATAAAAAGAAATAGTTGCATATTTATAAGGATTATTAATAAAATCATTTTTATAGAGAAATTAAAGTATTTTTACAACTAATAAAAATTAAAGGTAGTATATTCTATATGCTCAAAAACATATTATAACATTTTTTTTATAAAGAAAGTCATATATAAAGCATTGACCAAGGAGATAAGAGAATAACATTTACAAGATATTTTTATCATTCATTCTTAAATTTTTATCTTTTCCGGTTTTTGAATGAAATTTAAATGTTATTATTATTTATATATTATTTTCAGTTTTAATTTTTTCAAAGTGACAACTAAGTTGAATGAGTATTGTTTGACTGAAAATAGATGTATTTTTTTATTTATAAAATTTAAAAACAATCTAAAAGGTCAAATTTTCATTATTCAAAATTATACAATGACAACTTTACAACAGTTTTAAGGAAATTTAAATATTGTAATTTAAGGTTAAAAGACTAAATTTTTCAATAAAATTAATTTCCCAAATAAATGTGATGAGCAAAACATGGTCAAAAGTAGACCACATAAAAATTATAAACAATTTTATTAAAAATAAAAAATATTAATAACATTCTATAATATATTTTAATATTATATAAAATCTACAATTTTAAATAAAATTCAAAGAAATTAAAATGAATAGTAAAAAATATATTAAAAATATAACAAAAAAAAAGAGCTTTTCCTTAAAAATTAATTGTAAATTTGACATTGCCTACTAGTGTTTGAAATATCTAAAGTAACCATAGTTAAAAAGAAACTAAAGTTGGACTTTGAAGCATCGAAAATCCAAATCCATGTTATAGGTAAAGTTCAAAAAGGCAAATATTTTAATAATATTAATATGATTGTAGTATGAATGAATATGAAATTGGCACTCTGACACAAGTCATGATTAACTCTATTGCATGTTCTCTCTTTCATTACTGTTCTCCATAGTACTGTGTCTATATATATACTTTCATCTATCCTTCATTTCCTATACTGTTCTCCATAAAGCTACCTAATGCTCTCTGTCACACACTGTCATCATACTTCTTAGCCCAACCAACTCCATTTTTCTGTCCTTCCATTCTTAACACCATTCTGTTTTCTTTTTTTTTCACCTCCTTCAAACCAAACAAGTTCTGTTGCTTTTCTGTGAGAAAAAATGGGTGAAAAAGATGATGAGTTTAGTTTGGGTTTGAGCTTGACTTTAGGGTGCGGAGAATATGATAATAGTAAAAACAAAAACAAAACTCCTTTGAATGTTATGCATAAACCTCTTCAATCTGTTCCAAACCAAAGGGTTTCTTTCAATAACTTGTTCCATTTTCATGGTATGTTTTTTTTCCTCTACTTTTTCAATTTTTTAATTCCAAGTTTTGGCCTTTTTTTATTAGGGTAAATACTAAAAATCCCATTTCTGGTAAACCTAAAGAACACAATCATTTTCAATTTTTTGTTGAAATCATGCCAATGAAGAACATAAGCCCTTATTTTATTTTATGTTTATTTTTTAATTTGAGTCAAAGCGGTTGTGAGTAAAAAAAAGTAGGCTTTATTGTCGTGATTAATTACACGTTTGCCACTAACAAACTCACGTGCACGTCACGTGTTGCAGATCTCAGTACCGAAATGAGGTCGTTTCTGCGCGGAATCGACGGGAACTCGCTGCGACCGTCTTCAGCGGCGGTGTTCGAGGATGAGAACGGAGTTTCGTCGCCGAATAGCACTGTGTCAAGTATTAGTGGAAAACGGAGCGAAAGAGAAGGAAATGGAGACGAAAACGATGCTGTTGAGAGGGCTTCCTGTTCTCGCGGTGGAAGCGACGATGATGACGGTGGAGGATGCGGCGGCGACGGCGAATCTTCGAGGAAGAAGCTGAGATTGTCGAAGGAGCAGTCGGTGTTGCTGGAAGAAACTTTCAAAGAGCACAACACACTGAATCCGGTGAGTTTGTTGTAGTGGCATTTCTGTAATACAATTTTAATCAAAGGGTTTAGTTGTAATTTTGTTATCATCATTAGTGGCAATCTCTGTAATTCAGTTATAGGTTAAGGGTGTATTTGGTAGTGCAAATTTGGTTGTTTTGACTTTTTGTTTTTTGTTTTTATTATTATTATTAGGTTATTTTGAGGTTGTCTTTTTTATTCTTATTATTTATATTATTAGTATTATTTTTAATTTAATTTTTTATACCAGAAACAAAAGCAAGCATTGGCAAAACAGTTGAATCTGAAGCCTAGGCAAGTGGAGGTGTGGTTTCAAAACAGGAGAGCAAGGTGAAGCTTCTCTTTGATCTTCTACTTAAAATTTGGAATTACCTCAAACCCGATACTCGCATAGTGACATTGATAATAATTTTATAAATTAAACTTAATCAAAATTGTTGGTGTAGATGTCCAACATATAATCGGACACACCTCTACACATCTTCAGAGGTGTTGGTGCTACATAAATAATAAATAAAGATTATTGTTGTGATGGTGTGACATCATTTGTTACATTGTTGTGTGTTTCATGTGTGTTGTTTTGTGGTACATTTCTCCATTAGAGAAAAAAGTGAAGTGATTTGTTTTGATTTGAATGCAGGACCAAGTTGAAGCAAACTGAGGTGGATTGTGAATATTTGAAGAGATGCTGTGAGACTCTAACTGAAGAGAATAGAAGGTTGCAAAAGGAAGTGCAAGAGCTTAGGGCATTGAAGTTATCTCCACAACTTTACATGCAAATGAACCCTCCCACCACTCTTACAATGTGTCCTTCGTGTGAGCGTGTCGCCGTGTCATCCGCATCCTCCTCATCAGCAGCCGCACCCTCTGCTTCAACTCCAGCTAACCGCAATCCGTTAGGCCCGAGTGTTCAACGACCAGTACCTGTCAACCCTTGGGCGGCCATGTCTCTCCAAAACTGTCCCCGATCTTGAGCCCTCGCCAATGATGTTAACATTAGGTTAAATTAGGCAAACGGATTTAGTGTATGTTTGGATACACGGTGAGTTTGATGGAATCATGGCGGCACACTGCGATTCTACCAAACTCAGTGCGAAAACTTGTGGTTAAAAGCTAGACAGAAATGAATCAATTCTGCAGTGCACTTTACTTTTTAGTGTTGGTTTATTAGGACTTAAGGTTATGACTTTAGTTAACTTTTGAGTCTAGGCTTATTTTACTTTAGGCCTAGTGATAACATGTTTTACTCAACTTTAGGATGTGTAAAGTTTGAACATGTTAAAAGTAGGTTGTGTTTTTCATATGCTGAATGGTTTTTTTATTTTTATGGTCCTTGAAAGGGTGAAAAGGAGAATCCGAATCTATTTTATCTAATTTTTTCATGTGATTTATGATACAAGTTGGTGAGAAAAAGTGGGATTTTGTGCAAGATTGGAAAGGGGACAAGTTAAGGAGATTCCCATGAGGTGAAAGATGTGGTCTCAATTAGAAATGATTTTGTCAATCTTTTGTTGTTATTCTTTTCCCTTTGTTTTTATACTTAAACATGGGGTTGAGGGGTGAGTCACATAGTGTGGGTCTCTAATTCATACTTCCTTGAAATATGGATTTTTACCCTACCATTTAGTTAAGAGGTGACAATAGTGAAGAAAGGTAAATGTGGTAACGCGCTAGTGAGAGTGGTTGCATCAATATTCAATGTGTTTTTGAGGGTTTGGTTACAAAAAGGCAAGTAATATACACAAAAATAGTTACTACTCCTGCTAGCGTGGTCCATGCTCTAAACTTTTGCACATTGGCCATGTTCAAAACTTTTGCACATTGGCCAATTTTGTCTTTGGAATGTCTGACTTGTCTGAAATACTATTTTAATTTAGTATATATGTCTCATTGGCCAACTTGATTGATAGTTGTAAGCTTGTCTCACATAAACTTGATGAAGTAGCTGCAACAAGGAGACTAGCTAAAAGATTTCCTAGTGGAAGCTCATTTACATGTTCATATACTCGATGAAACTCATTTACTTTATAGTGCATACAAGCCTACTTATACGGACTAAAGCCTATGAAAATTCTGGCTCTTAGATTAAGTACACCTTGAGCTGAAATTACACTTATCAGCTCTTCAAAATCACGATTAGGTCCACATAAAGTTGAAGCTACACTCATCACGATTAAGTCCAGATTAGGTCTACATAAAATTGAAGCTACACTCATCACGATTAAGTCCACATGAAGTTCTTGGGTCATGAGGAATAACATCAATATTAGATCAAAGCAACACAAGTGAGAGAGACACCACATATTCACTTAAAACTTTAAGGTAATAGGTGAGTGGGTTCTTCCACTTATAAGTGTTTAAGTCACCACATTTCTATTCAATGTGAGACTATTGTGCATACTATTCACACTTGTGAAATTTTTTCTGCCCTGTCATCTTTTTAGAAAGATATTTTCAAAATACCATGTATTTCAAGACATATTCCATAATGTCACAATTTCAAAAAAATCGTTTTTATGGCACAAGGGTGTCGCCCTTTCAATGGGCGAAAGTGCCTTATTTTTTTAGGTGCCGCCCTTTCAATGGGCGGCAGTGCAAACTGTAATTTTTTTTTTTTACGTTGTAATACATTTTTATTTATGTATTATATTAAAATAATTATGATAATAATAATTATTAAATTATAAATAATAATTATGAAATAGATAATAATAATAATAAATAGAATAGTACTAAAATAAAATAAATGAATTGAAATAAAAATTTATTTATTCATGAAATTAAAAAAGTATATTAAAATTTCTATCCATCCTTAATTAATTTTGACCCGGTCGACGTAACTTTCATCATTGCTAGGGTTCATGAAGGTGAGAAGAAATTTGCGATCAATTCCATATGAAGTTATCCTGATGACGTGATCGAAACCCGTTTGAACCAAATATGGTTTGATAATTTCATCATGCTCTATGTACTTATGTGAGCGTGGTTTGAAATTTTTTTCATCCTACAAAAAAACTATTTTAAGTAACATTATAACAATGTAACAACTTAAATAAGATAAATAACATTATAATATTTTAATTAAGATAAATAACATTATACCATTTTAAATAAGATTGTAAATATTTTAAATAACTAACATAAATATTATATGATTGTAAACATTATAAATAAGATTAACTTAGATATGATGCAATGTTTGCAAGTGTACCGCAATGATCATCTCTTAAGGTTAGTAAAACCATTTTGAGATGAGATGGTAGTAGAGTGGTAGTAGAGATTTTTTAAGAGTGGTAGTAGAGATTTTTTTAAAGATTGGTAGGGTGTAGAGATTTTTTAAGAGTGGTAGTAGAGATTTTTTAAAGATTGATAGTAGAGATTTTTAATAGTAGAGATATGGTATTTATAGGAGATTAATGTAGGTAAGAATTAAATTGATGTAGGTAAGAATTAAATAGATGTTGGTGAAAAATAATTGAGATGTACGTGGGTGCATGCATGGGAGCAGAAGTCTGACGTGTCTGCCGCCTTTTGAATGAGCGACAAATTTAATTTATGTCTGGTTGTCGTTAATGCAATGGGCGGAACACCTTTGATGTGTCTGACTGCCGCATAACCAATGGGCGGCACACATTAATTGTGTCTGACTTCCGCATAATAAATGGGCGGAAACTTTATTCTTTTTCTGACTGCCGCATAAGCAATGGGAGGCACACCTTAATTATGTCTGACTGTCGCCCTTTTAATGGGCGACACATTTATTCTGTTGTTGACCAAAAGAGTTCTTGCATGCAAGGCTGAAAAATGCCAACGAATTCTGTCATTTGCTTTACAACAATGAGTAGTTCCCATTATTTTTTCATCATCTTCAAACATTTTCATACTATTTCATCTTCATCATCTTATATAATGACTACTAGTCAACAATATATTGTTAATGCTCATTACAATGGGAGTGTTGTTGTATCAGATGAAGTGGGTTTGATCTTTGAAAACACTGACGTAACTCGTTTCAGTGTTCATAAAAGATCGTCATTCCAACATTTTAAAGATAAGGTAGAAATGAAGGTGCAAGCGGGATCAATTACACAGATTACGTACAAAAATGCTGTCCATTTCAGGGACCATCGCTTTAAATTTGTTCCATTAAAGGTTTGTGGCGACGAGGATGTTGAAACGATGTTATCGAATCATGAACGCTTTGGGTTTCTGCACATTGAATTATATATAACATTTGCACAATGTCAAGAAACTCAAATTTCTCAGGTCATCAATCCATCCGTAGAGGAAACACCAACCATAATTCCACTCGAAGATGTTGAAGAAGAAGACTACGAAGAAAACGAGGCACGGGTTGATGATTTATACACTACTTTGTTTGAGGAAGGAAACAGTGTCAACAAAGTCAACAGAGATGAACAACACATTCCAATTGAGAATGTATTCATTCCACCGACGCATATGACAACCCTGCCGCTAAATGTAGAAGGAACATCATTTGAAGGGCCACAGAATTCTCATATTCCAATGGAGGGTGACATAGAAGTCGGTAACCAATTTAAAAATAAAGCTGACTGTGTGGCTGCCATTAAGCAATATCACATGAAACACTGCGTGGATTATAAAGTAACAAATTTCGACAAGAAGAGATACATAATTTGTCGCAAGAATGATTCCTGCAAGTTCCGTCTATTGGTGTCCTACCGAAAAAGAAGTGACTTGTGAGAGATAGGCATTATGAACCCACCCCATAGTTGTTCAACAACTATATTTAACTAGGATCATCAAAAACTAACCTCACAGTTAATGTCTCAGAAGTTAATGTCATTTGTAGACAAGGATCCTTCTATTAAGATTAGTGTTTGCATAAGTAAAATTGTTTTTGAATACAAATTTACTCCGTCCTACAGAAAGACATGGATTGCAAGGAATAAGGCAATTGAACAGGTATACGGTAACTGGGAGAACTCATACAATGAACTTCCACATTTTCTATTAGCACTTAAAAAATTTGTTCTGGGAACTGTGCTGGAAATAGAAACACTACCCATGTATACAAATGACGGAACACTTGCTGAAGGGAAACACATCTTTCACCGACTATTATGGGCATTCCAGCCATGCATAAGAGGTTTTGCATATTACAAACCTATACTTCAAATTGATGGAACCTGGTTATACGGTAAGTACAAGGGCACACTGATTATGGCAGTGGCACAAGATGGCAACAAAAATATTTTCCCGGTTGCTTTTGCCCTTGTGGAAGGTGAAACCGCCGAAGGTTGGGGGGTTTTTCCTGCGAAAACTTAAGGAGGCATGTTGCGCCACAACCAGACCTATGTTTAATTTCAGACCGACATGCATCAATTGAAATTGCATACAACAATGCGGAAAATGGCTGGCATAATCCCCCATCAGTGTATGTTTATTGTATCCGACACATTGCACAAAATTTTATGAGAGAAATCAAGGACAGGAACCTACGAAAAAAATTTATTAACATGGGTAACTATATTTCATAATATTCATTAAATTTTGTCAATAACATATATTATTTTTTTGTCCATTGTTGATATTTTAATTATTCAGGATATGCTTTAAATCAACAAATATTTCATTACTATCAGCCTGAGATTGGCATGACAAATGCAAATGCTTTGAGGTGGATTGACAGTATTCCAGCCGAAAAATGGACAAGGGCATTTGACGGGGGTCGACGTTGGGGTCACATGACTACCAACCTTGTTGAGTCATTGAATGCTGTCTTTAAAGGCACACGTAATTTGCCCATTACGGCATTGGTAAGGGCAACATATTATAGACTGAGATCTTTATTTGCTGAAAGGGGTGCAAAGTGGAGTGCTGTGTTGAATTCTGGCCAAACATTTACAGACAACGACCTCAAGGTGATGAAAGAAGAAACAACAAAATCCAGCACACATCAAGTCAGAATTTTGACTACACTAACAATGTT